TGTGTTATTTGCTTTCTGTTACTTTTTTTTTATCTCTTTCTCACTCAAATCTTAAACTAAAAAAAGACAGAAAACAAGAAACAGAAAGCAAAAAAAACACATTGTATATCAAGCTTTAAAGTTTGAGTCAAAAAGAGACAAAGAAAAAGTAACAGGAAATAAATAACACATTGTAGATCAAGCTTTAGGGAAGCTTTACACCTTGGCAGAAAACAGAAAGGCAGATGCCAATTAGAACTCGCGCTGATGATGAAATGATAGTCGACAGTTTCTGCGTTTCTACAAGCGCAAGCTCTGATTGGCCTTTTTTGTTTTCTGCTTTTCTATCAAGGTGTGAAGTCTCTGTAAAGCTTCATCTATAACGTGTTCTTTCCTTTGTCTCTTTCTGACTTAAATTTTAAGCTAGAAGAAGACAGAAAGTAAAGAGCACATTGTAGATCAAGCTTAAGAGAGAATTCACACCTTGGCAGAAAGACAAAAGCCAATCAGAACTCGCGTGATGATGAGATCGACAGTTTTTGCTTTTCTAGCGCGAGTTCTGATTGACTTCTGCCTTTCTGTCTTTTGCCACGATATGAAACCTCTCTAAGGGAGAATTTTCTGTCAAAATCTGAATTCTCCCTAAGGAGCATGCCAATAATTGTGTGTTTCATCTTACGATATTTCAACGCGAAAAACTGGCTATCTTGAGTGAATCTATCTGTTCTAGCAGCACCTCACTCCGTTTTTCCCTTCTCTCTCTTCGACATGGTATGCATTCGTCTCACTTCGACATTTTATCGAGTGATTCCGTTTCCTACGATAATTCGCAAACATCTCACGGTCGAGAGAAATTCCTCCAGGTCAACTGTAAACTCCGCTCCTTAGTCACTCGAGTGTCAGTTGACCTTTTCGAGGATATTGACGTTCATGTGTATGTTCTATTTTTTGTTCTTTTTAATTGGAACATTGTCGACCAAGTTATAACAAACAGTAAGATAAATGTCCCAGCAATTGAAAATGTCCCAATGATTGTAACATCGATAATATATCTGTACTTAATATTCCTAAAAAAAGTCTTTAAAATTTTGTTAAGAGATATTTGTATTAATTTATAATATTATTTAATGTAATATTTTTTGTAATATTATGTGATATAATCCAATTTCATTCCATTATTAAGTCGGTATAATGATGTATAATGACATCATTTATGTCATTGATATATCATTATTGCCGAGATAAAATATCACAGGGTAAAGTACACAATTATTGGCATTTCCCTTAGGGAGAATTGAGATCTTGACAGAAAATTCTCTTTTCTTTTAGAGAGGCTTCACATCTTGGCAAAGGATAGAAAAGCAGAAACCAATCAGAACTCGTGCTAATAGAAAAGTAGAAACTATTGACCTCACCACCAGTGCGAGTTCTGATTGGCTTCTGTCTTTCTGATTTCTACTTTTCTGATTTCTACTTTTCTGCCAATCTGTCCTTTTCAGCTGCATTCCTGAACTAGTGCAATAAGTTAGAGTGAGAAAAAATATATTTGTCTCACTTTAACTTATTGCAGTAATTCAGCAGTGCAGCTGAAAAGAATAAATCAATAAATTCTCCCTTAAACTTAATTTACAATGTGCTCTTTGCTTTCTGTTTCTTGAGTTGCATTCCAAAATGTTCTTTTTAAGGAAAATTTTACTGAAAATCTATAGTTCATATAACATATATTATAGATTTTCTGTAAAATTTTCCTCGAAAGAAATATTTTGGAATATAATCCTGATCTTCTTCTGGCTTAAAGTTTAAGTCAGAAAGAGATAAAGAAAAAAAAACAGGAAGGATGATTTGCAGATATCATATTTATCACCGTTTAAAATCGACTAATCTTCTGATTTAATAAACTCGTCCTTGAGAATCGTTAATCGATCCGACTATACGCCATTGCGATACGTGCTTACATATTTTACATAGTTTTGTATATATTTCTTTAGCTCCTTCCTCAAGGCACATAGTATCGATCGAGGAGCGCGAACGACGTGGCCAGTAAAAAGGAAAAAGATCAAGTATAAGAGATACACGCGAGAGCAATAACAATGTGCGACCTATGGGACCACGTTCGTCGATCGCGGGGTCAACATCGACCGGCGATGAAGAGCGTTAGCTACGCAAGACGCACGATGGTGACGCATCGCGACACACGCGAGACGTCACTGGAGAGAAAGAGAAAGAGAGAGAGAGAGAGAGACACGTTCATTTCCGTAGGCACGAGGGGACCGTCCCTCTCCGTCTCACTTCACTTCGTCCTGCCTAGCCCTGCCTCGCACGCATGCCATCGTGCCGTGTGTCCAAAATGGCTGGCCGCTAAAATTAGCGTGCGAGAGCGAGCGAACGAGTGACACAGATAAACACACATATACGTTCTCGTATAGCATATTTAAAAAGAACAAGTGAGAGAGAGAGAACGGGACGAATATGCAAAGAGGAGAAAAAGATATATAAAGAGAAAGAAAGAGAGAGAAAGATATATGCATGAAAAGAGACAGAGGGAGAGCTCTGCTTACCTCGTCGTTGTCGAAGTAAAGTCATATAAAATGGTATCGCCCTGCTGGACGGCCGCCTTGTAGCGTGAAAATCCAATGGCCGCGCACGGCTGCCTGCTGGCTCCAGTCGGGACAGACGGCTCGCACTCCTGTTCCGGAGCAATTCTGCTGCGATCTCGACGAATACGTGCGTGTGTGCGTGCGTGCGCGTGCGGCTGGGTCGATCACGGTCGGCGTCACGAGAGGCAGAGAGAGACGGAGAGCGAACGAGCGCGACAGAGACAGCTAGAGTGGTCGATCGAGCCGGCCTTTCGTTGCCTCTTGCCCGATGTACCCTGCGACGTGCCGGTCGGCGAGTGTTTCAACGCTGGTGATTAGCGATGTTCGTGGATTCACGACGCGGAGAGTGCGGCTGCTCGAATTAGCTGACACAAGAAGATAGACGCAGACCTGGGAACGCTCCAACTTGCTATACGGTTGCTGCCTGAATACTGACGCGAGCGCCCCTTCAACGCCGGCGCCACCGCGTTGAGATGGCGCCAGGTGGTGAGGGCAGATCGGGGTGGGACCCGATTGACCATGGTACGATTGGATACAGATTGTAAAGGCCAAATCACACTAACGATTGGCGATAGATGATTGACGATTGAAGATTGGAACTTGACCAATTGGAACAAAGCAAACCAAGGCTGAAGCTTGTTGATTCATTAAAATATAATCTTTTATTGTCAATCGCCAGTCGCTAGTGTGATTTGACTTTTAAGCCCTTATGTCACATTACGGATTGGAAATGGAGGATTGCGAATTAAAGATTAGATTTCGACGAATCAATACACTTTGGTCTTGGCCTGCTTGGTTCCAACTGGTCAAGTTCCAATCTTCAATCCGTAATCCTCTATCTCCAATCCGTAGTGTAATACCGGTTAATGATTGGTTCGACCTGGTAATTCACTAGATAATTCTTTGCATTGGTTGGTTATGTCCAATCGTACCGTGGTAATCGGGTAAATCGTACCCTTACATAGGAGCATCGAGCGTCGAGCATTAAAGCGGTAGCCAATCAACGTGCCACTTTCCAAGATCCCTATTCTTGAAATTTTTGCATGTACGTAATTTTCATTGCGCAGCTATTTTATGGTATGATTAAACCTGCGTAGTAAAACTTATGTATATGCAACTATTTCAAGAATAAGGGCCCAAATATAATTCTGGGACTTGATACGTTGATTGGCTAACGCTTTAACGCTCGACGCTGGAACGCTCCCATGTATTGGCATCTTAAGTTCTCGTAGCTTTCACTTTTGACACTTTTGCACGTAATGCTCATTGCATATCACAATGGCCGCGTTCTGGTATACGCTCGCAACGCCTAAATCGCTCTTCAAGTTGTTCCATTAGACGCTCACGGTGTTCACGACGAACTGTTGTAACTAGCTTTATAACTAGCTTCCTAAGCTCATGCAGGATTCACACCGCGTCCAATGTCCGACATATGACGTTTTCTTGTTTTTTTATTTTTATGTTTTATGATGTCGGTAAGTAGGAAAGGCAAAGAATAGTTCATACATTTCTCTGCTTTAATAAAAAGCATAAACTCTGTTATAAAACAGAGAATAGTTCATGTATGACGAGAACATCGTAATCGTGTGTACAGTTAGATCAAAGTTTTAATCCGTATAAAAAGGTAATTATTAAGTTTTATAAAATAATGTATATGATTAAAGCAAAGAAAAGCATACATGAACTATTCTCTGCTAACAGAGTTTTTGTTAAAGCAGAGAAAAGCATGTATGAACTATTCTCTGCTTTATAACAGAGTTTATGTTTTTGATTAAAGCAGAAAAGCATATATGAACTATTCTCTGCCTTTCCTACCGACATTATACAACATAAAAATAAAAAAAAACAAGAAAACGAAAAGTGAGCAACAATTTTCATTTTCAGAAATCAATTTTATGCGTAAAAATATATAAATTTACAGTTTAAAAAAAAGATGGGGGCGTTATACTGCATATTTACTAAGAGCTCCTGTTTCAATGCTAAAAATGACGGATTTGTACATATATATTATGCATCTATTGTTAAATTCATGGCATAGCAGTTATGTTGCTGAATATTAATAAACTTGGCCAGCTGGATTGTTTGTTCTTCTTAATTTGAGGTTATATGGGCTTACGACTATTGTATGATAGAAGTATGCATATATTACGCAGCTGCGACAAAACTATTCCGCAGATTCTGCTAAAAACTGCTGAAAAACGCGGAACGCTCGTGATTGGTTCCGCTCTGGTTCCGCGCTCCACTATTCCACTGCATGGGTTCGCACCCTTAGTATAAATTGTGTATTTCAGGGAATTTCCCATACTTTTATAAAATAAATTGCACGAGCTTCAAACTTCTACAGCAGCGGTGATTGACAGAATCTTCTTTTTTATTTCGGTATGTAGATTTTTCAAAATTGCGTGCATATGACTGGTTTTTCAAACAGTACATGAATGTTCGCAAATAAGTGACTAATCTCTGAATGTATATATAGTTTATATAATGAAAGGATTAATTCGTAGGATAAAATCCTGAAATCTAAAACAATTTGATTTTGTGAAGAGATAAGTGAATCATTGAAAAGTGACTGTTTAGGTTAAGTTTTAGATTTAGGTTAGATTTTAGGTTAGTTTTAGTTAGTGTACAATACTTCGGATACAATAAAAGACATGAAAGCTCTTTTTCTAAATATTCAATTATATATAAGCTCTTTTTCTAAATATTCAATTATATCCCTCAATTATATGTCAACAGGAATATTTGAAGAAGGAAAACCACTGGAAATCATGGTATCGCCATTTACCTGCAGAAGCTGTAATGTACAGTTATGGGATCTGGAGATACTGAAACAGCACTACAAGTCTGAATGGCACAAGTACAATTTGAAAAGAAAGATAGTTAACCAACCACCAATCACAGTTGAGGAGTTTGAGACATTAAATGCCATGAAACGCAAGACATTTGAGCAGTCAAAGGATAATTGTTATTGCAACATATGTTGCAAGATGTTCAAAACAAAAAATCAGTATAAGAATCACTTGATTTCTAAAAAGCACAAAGAAAACTCTGACAAACAAGAAAATAATGATAATGAATTGTCCCAAAGAACCGAGAATGCTACAGAAAACATTAATGGTGATATATCAGGCCTTGGTAACTCTGTCTTTATGGAGAATGCAATTTCTAGTAAGAGAACAGATGTGGAGGATATAGAGACTGACTCAGTCGTAGAGTCTGTGGATTCAGACGAATGGATAGAAGACACTGAGAATCCTGTGGATAATAACAATTGCTTATTCTGTGATCATCAAAGTAGATCATTAGCACGCAACTTGAACCATATGGTAATTGCACATTCTTTCTTTATACCTGATCCTGAGTACTGTGTGGATGTAAGGGGCCTGTTGACATATCTAGGGGAAAAGATATTTGCTGGATATATGTGCATCTGGTGCAATGAATCAGGTGAGCATAAATGTGACTTTATTTTGCTGCAATTATTTACTTTGTAAAGAAATATATGTCGATAATAAAACATTTACAATTATGTAATATTGATAAAGGGCTATATAAAGACAGAATCAAGAATTTATATCTAGATAGTTTTCCTAAAGCTACCTTTGACAAAGTAAATTTTGAAGTAATTGTTTAATTTTAAGATTATATACACATTTGTATGTATCATTAGGAAAGAGAAGTTTAATAATTATTACTTAGTTTTATAACTCAAAGTTTTAATTGTTATATTTTATATGTGCACTATGGATATCTCTACTGACCTCTAAATAGTTAGTTGTATTGCAAAATATTTTAATTTGTATATAAACAATTGACTTATTGAAGCTTTAATTGTGGCAACTCTAATTGTGTTTTGTATTAAATCATATTTTAAAATCCTCTTTATTTCGCCAAATAGATAATGACTTTAAGGACACTGTACAAAGAGTATGTTCATTTTTTTAGATATAATCTAAGTAAAGTTGCAAAATCTGCCGACAGCAGGCAAATTTTTTTCCTGTGGAAAGTGTTGTCATTGAAGTTTTAATTACAAAAAAAAAAACTAATATCAAAAGCTACTTTAGTTCATTGTTATTTAAATATTGTGATTAAACTTTTTTTTGTTAATAATTATTTTTACAAATTGTACTTCCCCTTTTCTAATAATCATTTTTGTAAACTGTACTTTTTAAGAAATCTTTATTCTACGTAAATAAATACAGAGTGATTTATAAATGCATGTCAATACTTTAGAAGGTAAATCTACACACTAAAATAAGTAAAAAAGGTCATATGAACATATGTCCTACATATCTTAGTTTTCAAGTTATGAATGATTAAAGAAAATGTATTCGCCTTGTGCATCAACACACGCTACTATACAGCTTAGCATGTCTCGACATTGTTTAATGTTTACAAACAATATCTATCAATACAAATCGAGCAGAATTTCAGACAGTCAGTATCTTATCCTCACGAGTTACTATGTGTGTGTTCTGAAGTTATTCTGAATATAGTTCTAAAAGCGGAAAAATGGTCATATACACTTATGGTGAAATAGTCGACATGCATTTGATGTATAGCTCAGATAATTCACAACTGAGTTTACAAATCACTAAACTCGTGCGTTCCCACTTTTTTCTCAGGTAAAGCCTTCCAAAACGTGCACGCAGCGAGAGCGCACATGCTGGACAAGGGACACTGCAAAATGCTGCACGAAGGCGAGACTTTGCTCGAGTACAGTGATTTCTACGACTACTCGTCCAGCTATCCGGACGGCGAGGATTCCAGCGCAGAAGTGAGGCTGCCCGTTGAGCTGGACGATACCGGTTATCAGATAACGCTACCGTCCGGCAATGTGATCGGCCATCGAGAGCTTATGAGATATTATAAGCAGAAATTAAACCCGAACAGCACGGTCAAGTCAGTAAGCGATAAAGTGCGCAAGATAATGCTGCAATATCGATCTCTCGGTTGGACCGAGACAAGTAAACCGAATGCCGCGCGGAAAGCTCGGGATATCAGGTACATGCAAAGTATACAGGCCAAGTACTCGACGCAATTGCAGTTCAAGGCGAACAAGTTGCAGCATCACTTCAGGAAGCAAACGATATTCTAAGCTTCGGCCACTTCGACTCTTAGACGTCACAGGAGACTTCCACGAACGCGAAGTTTCTTCACGAGGTAAAACACTTAATAGTCAATATTCTGTCTACTCTCGTCATTCCTACGCGGATTTTATCAAGTATTTAAAAAAATAACGAATAATTGACAAAATCCCTTTAATACACTTTAATATTTGATAAAATATGCGCAAGAATGCTGAATATTAGGCATTCTGTTCTGTTATCTCTATTATTATGTTGTTACGACTCGTTCATGTAACTGTACTATATATAATGTAAAAATGAATAAATGCATCTACATTTAAATAAAAAGAGTGAAGGGATCACTCGCAACACCGTTCATCGTGGTCTCGTTTTATAAACGATTGCTACGAAATCGAAATTTATTTTAAAGGATATACACATTTCACGCAATACAAATCATTATAAATCGCGTATTATTTTGGCGGACGTTCTTACAAAATAACTCGTTTTTATACTCTCGCAAACACGCGACAACGACGACAAAAATATTCTTTATTCTTCCTCGCGTATGATTCTCCTCCCTTCCCTTCTTTCTTCTTTCGTCCCTTTTAATTTGTATACTCATATGGACCCGTGTTTTATTTAGCAACAGAGCGGGGACAGCTCCCTTTCTATATTCTCTCGCGATATATAGAATGTAATGTATGTACGTATATAAATTCGAAAACAATCCGTCGTCGCGTTTCGCTGATGCTCGCACGAGAGAAAAAGAGAGAAAAGAATCGTGCATTATTGGATTTACTATAACTGGACGTTATTATGCACTCCATGGACCGTTCCTCATCGCGACATCAGTGAATCGCGAGACGCGCGCGGAAGGGTCAACGACAAATCGTTGCTTCGACTCGACACCGCGACATCTTTCAATTTCAAACTCGAAATCTATCTCGAGATTGCAATCGCTGTGACGCGGGTTTCACTTCACGAGGAAACGCAGTTACGGAAAGAATTACACAGGACCACAAAAAAATAAAGTCTTTTTACCAGAAAGAAGAACCACTATTTTTTATATATTTCGACTGTATTATGTATTATTGGAATTGAATATGACCTTTAAAATAACGTAGCTTTATAACAAGCTGTTATAACAAGTTTTTGTTATGGGTAATGAGTAAAAAAAAGACTCCAAAGCATTTTTCTACATAGAACATGCACGTTGTGATTAAATTTTAAAAAATTAAAAACAATCATGTATATTTGTGTCGAAACATTCAAACCTTTTAATAAACGAGATATTAAGTTATACGGGGTGCTTGATTTCTATGAGTTCCCTTCCCTCTTACGTATAGGACATTAATGATATATATCGTACTCGCGAAAATCAACTTATAACATATTAACATTAATATTTCTAATATATTAACATAAGTTATATTAACATATAACTTAATATCTCGCTTATTGAAATTTTTATGTTTCAATATATAAATGTATAGTAAATCGCAAAGCGGTTTAGATACCATGAATTTCAGAGCGTAGCGAATAGTCTAATAAGAGAACGAATTAGTCAAAAATAAGTTCTCTCATAGGACCATCGACTGTACCCAATTATTGTTTTTACGCTAAGGAAATTTAATTACAGCATGTCCTATGTAGAATATGAAAAATGTTTAATTTTTAGTCTTTCTTGCCTGTTATAACAAAAACTTGATATGCTACGTTATTTTACTGTCATGTTCGGTTTCAGAACGTCGAAATACATAATAAAATAGTAATTCTTTTTTCCGATAAAAAATACTTTTTTTTATGTAGTCTCATCTTTGCTATTTCTGTTAATGGCGGGCTTAGGAGTTACTTTTATAAAGCAATTCGCGTTATCATTACTCGTTATATATCCAAAAACAAGAACACGTTATCATTACTGCCGCTCATTTTGAGAAATAACTCGTTACTGTCTGTCTGAAGAGAAATATCGAATTGTTACAATTTGTGCGATTTTTTAGGATTCTCTGCTGTCCGCTTCATGTAAATGCATCCCACATGTGCACAGTAACGAGACTATTCATTATAATTATTCAAAAAGTGCAATTGTGTTACCGTTAGAGATGTGCGAATCAAAGATTTTTTATGTCGAATCGAATCTCAGATTTTAATTTCGAATTCGAATCGAATCGTTGAAAAAATTTTTAATTAATATAATCATTGAATTCAATATGAAAATAATATGATAAGATAACATTGATCATATGATATCAATTCATTTTAAGAAATATATAATATATTTCAATTCCAGTCTTGAAAGTTGCGCAACAACACATATCGATCCGACAGTTGTCGGTAAGAATTTATCTAGAAGCCATTATCTTCTTTTAATATTTTTGAAGAAAATCTTATGTATAGCAAACTTTTCAAGTCATGCTAATTCCTGTAAGGCTGGATGAAGGGGATTGGAGGGTTAGATTGCTTGAAAATCGTGCTTGTTTTTTCACAATTTTTTATAACAAACTGAAAGAATATGCGAAAGTGTTATTTTGACATGTATTTATACAACATGTAAAGAGAAGAAAAATATAATTTTGATGATCAAATACTCAATATAAGTGTATATATGGTGCATGCAGTTAAAATATATTTCATTTTTTTTTCAAGGTCGTCATTTTGCAGTAATATCTCGACTCTCGGTGGTTTAATTAAGCTGAATTTTAGATAGAACATTTCCGTAAGCTTGTCGTTATCGTGTGAACCATTGACAAACTCGTGAATTTTGAAATATTAATTTTTTTAAAAAGAACAGAAAATTTAATAATATTCCATTAAGATACTTGCAATTTTGTTAACTTTTACTCAATTTCTATTGTAGTGGTTTATATGGTAACGAGCTTACGGAAATAAGCTTACGATAATAAACTTACGGAAATTTTCTACCTAAAATTCAGGTACCTTGAAAAGAAAAACGAAATATATTTTAACTGCATATACCATATACACTTATATTGAGTATTTGATCATCAAAATTATATCTTTTCTTTATATGTTGTATAAATATATGTCAAAATAATACTTTCGCATATTCATTCAGTTTATTATAAAAAATTGTAAAAGAACAAGCACGATTTTCAGGCAATCTGACTCTTCAATCCACTTAATAGTACTTCGTTAATGCTAATGTGCGCGATCCGTATTCGAATATTTTCGATTCGGATTCGAATCATAGGGATTTGAATCGAACCGAATTTCAGTTGATTAAATTCGAATAGTTTGCACATTTCCAGTTACCGTTATCATCTTTGACAGAAAAAAGTAACGTCGTTACCAAGCCGTTATTGAAAAGAAGTAATTTGTGACGATAACGACGTTACTTCGCGAGCTGTGCTGGGATTCTGTAACTCGTTATTGGAGTTAACTTCAAGCTTTTATATACCGTAGAAAAGCTGCGCAACGATAACGAAACTATCGTTAACTCCAATAACGAGTTACAGAATCCCAGCACTGGTATCGATGGTCACTCGATACAAGAAGACAATATCGAATTTTTCATCGCAACATAACACTGTTGTCCACTCCGGAGAAGAGGACACGATATATATCGGGTGTCGAGTTAAAGTAGCGAAATGTCAAGCTACAACATTTGACATTTTTTCTTCTTTCCTTCTGATCGGAGAAACTATTGTCACCGGTACCTAATATCTCTCGCGCGGCGATCAGTTGCTATATCTCTCTTCCTCGCGACATGTAACACGCGATTCCAGAAGTATACCTCGTATATCTCCGTTCTTTTTTTTCTTTGCTTCCTCTTTGCACCACGGAGCGTTTGGCCGTGTCGATTAAACGAATCTCGCGTTGAAATGCAGAACAGGACGGGGAGTCCGCGTTGGTAGACACCCAGTAAACTTTCAGCGGACCCCTCGGCGTGGTATACGAATGTTTCTCTTTGTTTCTTTAACAACGACACCTCGTTCAAAACATTTACGCACTAACAACGGGCGGGGCAGTAACCTCCGACCTCGGAGACATTTGCGAAACGTGCTACGGGTGAATTGCCCGATACATATGTTTTTTTTTCTTGCTTTGCTTTTCTTTTCTCTTATTACGAATAAATACGACTCTATGACAGGGACGTGCGATTTATGAAATTGTGCATCGCGATGCGATCTCTTTTAAGAATCGCGATGAATACGATACATCGATGAATACGATCGCATCGCAATTTTGTATCGCAAATATAATTTTAAATCGCTGACGCGGTTTTTAATCATAAGGGAACCTACACTGAGAGAATAATTATAGTTACTTTCGGCATCAACTATACTTTTTTGTGATTTTAACAACAAAAATAACTAGAAGAACTATCTTTCTTAATAACACTTACTAAAACAATAGTTTTTATAATTATTTTTGTGGCTAAAATTACAGAAGAGTATTGTTAACACCGAAAGCAACTATAATTTTCTCTCAGTGTAGGGTATGATGGGAGTCGTATTTAAATAAATATTTAAATAAATGTTAAATATATTAAAAATTAAATAAAATCAACTCTCTTTTCGTATTGCATCAAAATATTACTTAAAATGTCCACTATAAGAAAACACAAATTTTACTGTGAAAGAATACTTAAAAATGAAAGTATAATGAAGTTAAATGATTTTACTTTACATGACTTAATTTCATTATGCTTTCTATGCGGGGCAAAATGGGAGACATTTTACAAAACTTGTTTTTTATCAAATCATTAATTTTAAAACGTTTTTAAAAGTGTCTTATTAAGACATGCAATATATATATATATATAAAGATGTATTATTGCACGTTTAATTAATTATAATTATTTATTGATATTTTTCCCATGAAACAATAAGACTACCTTTTTTATTAAAATATTAATGACAATCAATATTAAGAGAGTGTAGTATTCTTTCAATCTTCTGAAACATATATAAAAAATATATAAAAATCATATATATATATATATATATATATATATATATATAAAGAAATTATGCAATTTAACATTTTAAGGCTGTCAATGGCATAATCCCATCATGCCTCTAAGTGTATAAATTTGGATTAGATAGTGTAAAGTATCATGGATTATGTGTCGCACGATATATGCATAAATATTTAATTAAAATAACGAGTGATTTTGCGATAAGAGTCACATTATGTATAGCATTGCGATTCAAGAAAAGAAAATCGCAATGCTTGCTATATATCGCAAAATCGCACATCCCTACTCTATGAGCGGGCATCGCCGCGCTTTTCTCGCGGCACACCCGAGAGACATACACATTAGACAGAGAGCTGTTATTGTCATACGACGATACACACATTATGTACTTATCTACTTTGCGCTCTCTCTCATGCTTCGCCTCGGTTTAACCGAAATGCCGAAGAACACCAAGCGGATCGAGAAGCCCGGTTCGGCGGTTTAATCAGTGAAAAAAATTTGCAATACTTTTTTTCTTTTGCAATAAGTTTCAAGACATATCAATATCCGATAAGAGAATTCATTTTTTTCAGTAAGGAAAAGGTACCACAATTCCTGGATATGTACCTAATCTTGGACATTCTTATTATTTTGGTCTTTAAATATTTAAACTTTCAAGACATGGAATGTACTCAATACTTATGCATATATTTTATGTTGAACATTTAAATATTTATATTTTAAGACCAAAACAAATAAGAATGTCCAGGATCATATCCGGGCATCAGTACTATTACTTCATAATTCTTAAAATATAATTTTCTTATTAGATACTGGATATGTAATGTAATAAAAGTGCGATTTTTTTTCGCTGCCTGACCGTGTGTCTTTAAAACATGCACAACGCCATTCTTCGAATCTTTTTTTGTACGGTATAGTTTAGTAATATTAGTTAATTAATTAGCGTGTGTATCGCTTTAACACCAATATGATATCACGCGATCGAACGACGGACTGTATTCTCTAAATTTCTTGGAGTGAAGTCGCATTCACATCGAATGAAAATTCACTCAAAGCGATTGCGAAAATATTCACTCGAAATCGCTAGAATGAATGTTTCATTCAAACTTGAAATGGATTCATAATCCATATAAAAGATTGTTACAATCGATTAGAGTGAATTTGTTCCTGTTACGGTGGAGCACATCGGAATCACTTTTCAATTTCGAGTAGAAGTATTTACTCGACGATTCAGAGTAGAACAATTCACTCTGTATGAGTGAAAAGTCAGTCGGTTTTAAATGACTCGGCTGTCCGTCTACTTTCTTACTGGGATTTTATACGAGGAAATTTTGAGAGTGCTCTCTAAAATTCTTGGAGTGAAATATTGCAAACGAGTGAAAAATCACTCAAAGCGATAATGAGAGTACCGCCATTTGGAAACGCAAGAATGAATGTTTCACTCAAACTTAGGATGCATCTTAATTTATACGATTGAATGGTTTCATCCATTAAAATGATTTTGTCTTGTTACGATAGAGTACATGAGATTTCCTCACTTTTCAATTTCGAGTGAAAATATTTATTCGAGATTCAGAGTAGAAAACTTTGTATAAGTGGAAAACCATTCGATTTTAAATGACTGCTGTCATTTAATATTCCCACTGGAATTTTACTTGAAGAAATGTTGAGATTTCTTTCTTAATTTCTTCGAGTAAAATATCACTGAAAACGAGTGAGGATTGACCGATGACGAGTGATTTTAGTCCACATAGGTGAATGGTTTAACCAGTTAGCTGTGTATGACGAGCATACTTGTCATGAAGAAATGGCAATTTTTAGCGTTATGACGAGTATACTCGTCATGTAACACAATTTAGGTATACACTTTTAAAAGAGAGCAACACAGCTAACTGGTTAAGGCAATTTTTAGCGTTATAACGAGTATACTCGTCATGCAACACAATTTAGGTACACACTTTTAAAAGAGAGCAATACAGCTAACTGGTTAATTGATTAGAGTGACTTAATTCTCTTGTGGAACATGTCGGTTTCACTTCAGTTTCGAATAAAAATATCACTTGAATTGAAAAATTCACTCTGCGCGAGTAAAAAACCACTAGGCTTCGTGAATAACTCTATTGTCGCTCTACTTTTCGAGTAAGATTTAACTCGAAGAAATTTAGAGAGCACAATGAAATAACATTCAAGTATGCTCTCGAAAAACTTTAGATTCCGTTTCCCCCGAGACTTGTGGTGAATCGGCGCGGCTTGATCCATCTTTCTGTTCTCAGAGCCTCGATTCGAAATTTCTCCTCATTTAGCTTCAATCCAGTAGCTTTACCATCAGCTTGAGCGCCTGATGAGGCGGCGCTGGTCTAATAGATTCATCCAGCTCCGTATACGGGATCTCCGCCTCCACCTGGAAGCCGTGTTTCAAGCAGACCCTCTGCGAATATACGCCGGTCGCGTCGGCCTTGAATATCTGCAAGGTAAGTACAAACGAGATTGTTCTTCGTCTTGTACGAGAGTCGCTGATATGATATTATTCGCGTATAAGACGGCGCAAAGGGGCGAATCGACACGATAGTGACTTTTGTCGTCGTTTGAAAGAAATCATTTATTACCTTCAGAAACAAAAATTGCTGTTTAGTTGATTTTAATCCTGAAGGTAAAAAAGAGTGAAGAGAAGGAAATGGTTTCGCCAGTGCTATGAATATAGCGCGTTACTATCCCTATAACAAAACAAGTTACGGTGACATCACAGTGGACTCATAATCTTTGTCGTGAGTCTATTGTGATGTCGCTGTGACTTGTTTTATTATAGGGGTTTTGTTATAGTAACGTCGTTACCATTACATTTTTTTAGTAACAGCTTGGCAATTATAAATTGCCAAATTTTATTAAAATTTTTTTTCGTTACGGAAACATTACATTACTAACAATTTCCGTTATTTTCTTTATTAATTAAATTCCGTTATTTTCTCTATTAAAATCAAGTAACAGAAGTTGTAACAACTTGTAACTTTTAATGAGTTATTTTTAAAAATAATTAACAGTCATGGTAACAAGTTATTTTTAAATAGTAACTTTCCCAATTTCCTGTGTTTGATGATTAAAAAACACGAGCTCCAATAAACGCCATCAAGAATAACATTACATTAATATTATAATTTCTCACTTAACATTTTGTAACTGTTACATACAACAAGTGTTATATCGCACTTACATTGTTAAGTGGAAAATTATAACATCGATATAATCTCAGTAGACATCAACTATTAATATATAACATTAATATTATAATTTTCTACTCAATAATATAATGAATGTGTTATATAATAGTTATATTGTCGAATGGGAAATTGTAACATCGACGTAATGTTACTATTAGTCGATGTTTACCGAAGAGTTGCGTTTAATAAATAAATGGGAGCCAATTGGTGAATGTTGACACGTGTCGATGCGTTCTTAAATTGCTGTGGCGTCCGAAATAAAGATGTATCAAGAATTTGTCCATCTCGATCCGCCCCGTTGTCGCGCGAAGAAAGGGCAGCGTGCGATATGAGTACCTTTCTGAGGGAAAGTAACGGAAGTGCACTGTGATCAGTGACTTCGATAAACGAAAATCACTCCATGCATATTAATCGAAGGGCATGCTGAAACAAAAGGACAGTGTGCTGTACATATACACATACATATGCGCGTTATTACACCTCAGTGATTATGCCGACGCGTCACAATCTTAAATTAACGAAATAAAAATAAAGGAGGAAACATTCTCTCTCTCTCAATCTTTCTCTCTCTTCTCCTCCCTTTCTCTCTCTCTCTCTCTCTCTCTCTCTCTCTCTCTCTCTCTCTTTCTCTGTACGTTTTTGTTTTTTCTTCCTCCTTTTTTATAATGTCGATAAAATCGATAAGTGCGAAAGTTCGCCCTCTGTACTTTCGGAACGCCTCGGCGTTGTCGAGCAGAGACACCCCCGCATACGTGAATAAGCAAATCTCGTGAGAAAGAACCTTGAAACCGGCGTTCTTCGCGGTTTCCACGCAGTCCGCCATTAGGATGTTCGCCAGGCCTTTACCGCGATGATTCTCGTCCACGCTGAGGATCCGGCACTCGAACAGCTCGTCGACGTTGTACTTGGCGAACAGGTCGACCTTCTCGTTTACTTTGTAAAGCAATCCGAAGATGGTCCTGAATTTTTTGTCGTTCAACTCGGCGAGGCGCCGTTCTGCCTCCTCGCGTTCGCCCTTCTTCAATATGCCATTTAGTGCCATACCCGCTATCTGATAAGAGGAAGCTGATTATAATGTTTGCCCTTTATATACAAAACACAGTTGGACTAATAATAAGTAAGCAACAGAGAAACATATTAACCTTGGAACCCCAAACATCAAAAAGTTTAGTAAAACTAAACATGAATAATTCTTATCTCCAGCACATTTTCATTTGCTTATAATTTTTAGAAAAATAATTTAAATTTAATCCTTTTTTTCAATCGATGTAAAAAACATCGAGGACTATAAATCCATTGATATTTTTACGATTTAATAAAGTTGAAAAAAGTTATAACGAAAAAACGAAAAACATGTACACTTGAAAAACAGTAATGTTTAAAAAGTTGGTGAAAATAAATGAAAATAAAAATAATTAAATAAAAATTAAATAATAAAATTTAAGAAATAAAAAAAAATTAAAAATAGAAAAAAATTGAAGTAAAATAAAATAAAATAAAAATTAAATAAAATTAAATAAAAAATTAAATAAATAAAAAATATAAGTTAGATATAAGTATATATGTGTGTGTGGAAAAAAAATATATATATTCATATATATTTACGTTATATTTACATTAATTATATTTACATTATACATATATATATATATATATATATATATATATAATATAATAAATATAACTGAAATATTAATAATCCTATTTTCAAGATATCAGATTGGATAATATTGAAGTAAACAAATAAATGTGACAAGAAAATTGTCACTACGTTTTGTTCCATGCTACACCCGAATAAAAATATTCTGAGGAACCGTGTAGAGTTAGCTTTTACTATGCGAGAAACACGAAGTATCTCGAGATATTTATAAATTAAAAGATTAAGAGAAATACGACACAAAATTCTTCGAAGCTCTATACAATGAGTAAAAAGAAAATATTTTGCATATTCTACTTTTCTGGGATATAATGATGAATATATATTGTCCCGGAAAAAGTATTTAAATTAAAAAATGAGATAATTTTCCTAAAAATTATTCCGAAATTCGAATATCAAAATAATTTCCCAACAACTTTTCCGAAATATTGAAAGCATACAATTATCTCAAAAAGTTACAATACAGAGATTAATACAATGCACTAAAAGATTATTATTATTTCGGGAAGGCTATATTTTTCGATACACTATCCTGTTATACAAATTTTGATATATTATATAAATTCATAATATTATAAATATAATATTTATAAAATATATTATATATACAAAGTATTTTCTCAAGACAATTGCAGACTTCTAATATTTTGGGAGGATTGTATTTTGGCAGATTGTGTCTCTGTATCCGAGTTTTGGCAGATTGTTCCATTTTGCGAATCTGGAGATTTCAATTTTTCGGATCCCAATGTACGCCGCGGGGACAATTGTACGAACGTCTCGCGGGGTAAACGCTTACGTACCGCTCCCTTCTTATCCAGCAGCATCCTTGAGTAGCCTTGCTTCAAGGTGAGCAGGCAGTGTCTCTCGAGCTCGCGCTGCGGCTCGCCCTTGGTGCAGAGCCCGACGGCATTGTTGAGTGGTTCGTCGGCGAAGAAGTTCCACTTGAGATGGTGGATCGCCTCGTCGAAGCGCTCCTCCGGCACATCCACGACCGTCAGGCAATCGGACGACATCTTTGACGGTCGACGGGGTGGTCGACACGGCGCGAATTTTCCGCGCAAGCTGAGAGGAGCAATTTCCACACGCGCATCACACACCCCTTGGAGTGGCGAACGGGGGTCGCAACCACCGCCGCCTTCTCGTATGATGGGAAAAGCCCCGCATATTGATCGACCCAGTTCGGCAAAATGCACCACTGGGTCAGTCGTACATGGCCATCGACGATGACCGCGCAGCCATCGGTAGGCGGATTAATTTCAGGAAAATCCGAAGGAAGGATCGATGAAATGCCGGAAAAGACGAGAGAAATCAAAATGACGGGAATTAATCTTTTCAGTAAACATCATTACATCAATGTTATAATAGTAACATTAGGTCAATGTCACAATGGGTTCAGAAAACGCAACGGTTATGCAATTATTAAGTGATTATCGTCTTTGATTGAAGTATTCTCTTAGATCCACATAGTAGATCTCTGAAAGAATATTCCAATGACATTGAGCGCTCACTCAACCGTTGTGTTTCTTGAACGCCAATAACAGTAATAATACATCAATATTACAATTCCCAGTAAACAAAGAACAGTAGATTAACACTTTGAAATATTGATTTTATATATATCTCTCTTGAATGTTCTTGCTTAATATTTTAAAAATATTTTAAAGATACTGCTGAATAATATGATCTCTTTGAATACTGTAGAAATGTTTTAGGAATATTGAAGTGCCAAATATCATAATATGATTATTCATAATAATCTTCATGATCTTCATATCAATGTTAAAAATTATCAGGACCTTAAATAAGTTCTCGCTGTTTTCCAACAGATGGCGTTACCAGAACTGCGTGCGTGTAGTTTAAGATGGTAACATATCTATAAAGAAGTACTATAAGCAAGCTTGAAATTACGTGTATGTCATTTCGCCGAAGTGTAAACAACTTTTTTTTTTCATAGTGTTAAACATGTCGAGTTTCGTGTCAAAAAAAGAGTATTTGCGAGGAATTTTACTGCACTACTTTATTAAAAAAAAATCTGCAGCTGAAGCACACAGAATTCTTGTTGAGACTTACGGCGACCTTGCTCTGTCGGAAACAACATGCAGAGATTGGTTTAGACGCTTCAAAAATAATGATTTTGATGTTGAAGATAAAGAACGCTTTGGCGCACTGAAAAAGTTTGAAGACGAAGAATTGGAGGCGTTACTTCATGAAGACTCATGTCAGACGCTAGCTGGACTTGCAGAATCATTATGAGTTGATCACACAATAGTTTCGAATTATATATACATATATTTATTTTACTTGTAACTCATTATTATAGATATATCTCATACAACTTCTCTCACATCATACAAACCGCGGAATGATTCGCGATGAATACCACTATCTATCCCTTCGAATCGCGTCCCATGGTAAAAATTCTGTACAATTCAATCGTTTAAACGTTAAACAAGAACAATAACAGCGATTTTTACGATACACTACAACGCAGGATAAAAATTCATTCGGATAGAGTCGCGTGGTAAGTCTTCACGCGGAATATAAAATGCATGAAAAAATCAACCGACTATACATCCAACATAAAGAACGCAACCGTGTGGCGTTCTTCAGATTTTGTACATGTGACTGTTGAATTTTTCCATATATTATATATATTATGTAAATCCGACTGTACACATATGCGTGTTGGTGGTGTTGCATGCGTTGCTGGACAAAGAAACAATTCGAAAAATCTACCTGTTATTACGTTTTCTAAACGCACAAACCATCGGAACTGTTATTGCACAGTGATTCAACATTATAACGGAAAGTACGCTCGAAACGGGAAGGGAACGGTTCGCTTCGTTCTCAACTATTAACATCATCTTAATTAAAACGCGTTATTTACAATATTTAAAACAACAGGTCCTCGTCACCCTCGTCGAGCATGTTCGCGGCTTCCAAATTGTGCCCGGCCGCGATCATTTCCGCTCTCTCCGCCTCAACCTGTAACAAAAAGTCAGATATAAAAATTAATACAATCATCTTTCATTTCAAACATCATTCGATAAATTATCGTACGACTAATATAAACAGTATTATTATATTATTATCTGGTCTTCTCAAAAGTAAAAATGTTAATCGACTAGTTAATTCTACCTTTTATAAATTTCATGATGATAAAAAGTTAAATATTATGTGCTTTAATATTATAGAATTAAAAAAATTGCAAAAGAAATTGATTATAATGAATAGATAATAATTTATATAGGATTTCTATTATAATTGATATAAAAAAATTAAATGCATTTAAGAAACAGATGAAAAGTTGGTTACTTTAGCTTCTAGATTCATATTATCGACGATTGTACCTTTGCCTTGGCAATCTTCTTCTTATCCTGAATCTTCTTCAGCCGATAAAACTCCTCTCGCTCAAGTTCGTCGAGTTCGGAGATGATGTACGCGAGAGTTCTCTCGATTCGCGGAATAATGACATGCTCGATCGCGTTGACGCGGCGATTCGTGATTTTGATCACCTCGTCGAGAGTGACGAAGCTCGTTTGTAGCGACGCCAATTCCACTAGCAGTTTTACCGCCCGCTGGTAGTTCTTCTTCAGCTTCGCCAATTGCTGACCACCTCTGGCCAAGCCGGCCAGCTCGTAAGTATCTGTTCCATCCTGGTACGATTCAAATACCGGGAGATTCACGCCGGCGACGTTGTCTTTCTTTGAGCGAATCTTGATTTGTGCCTTTGTCACGTTCTGTAGCACCACCTGATTGAAGTCGCCCGTTGCAAACTTTGCTTCAGCCAGAGAGAACGCGGCTTCCTTCATCACTTCACCCATTAAAGTTTTAGTCTGAAAATATTAATGTCAATTTAGGAATAATGATATATACATATCATAATATCGATTTGTTCATTAAAGTTTTAGTTTGAAAATAATTGAACTGAAGAATAATACACGTATATATATACACACACATACAATTATCAGAATTAGCGACTCTGAAATTTCAAATTTTTTTCAATTGCTATTCTGAGAAAAAATGTTTATTCACTGTGTGTGTGTCAGATTTGTCCTTTTAAAATGTCAATAATTTTTTCCTAAGATATATTTTTGTATTATCAAAAATGATATTAAGAAGAAAATAGAATATTCTATTTATAGTTATATCACATGAAATAATAGGATTATACTTCAATGATTTTCTTTAAAATCATCCATGAATTGAGGAACAACAATATATAATTTGTTACAAGAGTAATAACAAAAATAATACAAAAAAGCAATATGAGAATAATGATATGAAGTTAGTGACTTAAAATTTTTAGGAACTGCTAGTCTAAGAAAGATGTTTCTGTCAGACTTATCCATTTAAAATCTTAATTATTTTTTTCTTGAGACACATTTTTATAGTATTCAAAATAACAAATATTAAGAAAATAATCTATTTATATATATGAAATGGATGGAGTTATATTTCAACGATTTTCTTTAGAATCATCCATGAATTAAAGAATAATAATATATGTGCAATTTGCTACAAGAGTAATTTATAAAACTAACATAATAAAAGTAATAATATCAGTTTAGTTTTAAAATTTCAGAGGAGCTAGTCTCAAAAAGATACTTCTGTCAGATTTATTCCTTCAAAATCTTAATGACTTTCGTGAGTCATATTTTTATATCATTGAGACGATAAAAATATTAAGAAAATACTGTATTTATATAGTTGAATATATATGAAATAATATGAATATATATGAAATAATGGAATTATACTTCAATAATCTTCCCCAGAATCATTCTGAAGCGCATCTGCAAGGCGTCAGCCTTCTTCTTCAAGAGACCATGACCTTTTTGTGCTCCTTGTAAACGGGACTTCATCAACATCTGCGCCCTGATAAAAAATGTATAGAATTAATAGAAAAATAAATGTATAGAATTAATCAAAAGATTTATAGGAGACGACCTAAAGTCAGGAGACAACCAAATCATTCAAATTCTTTATACTATCTACACATTTTTATTCCAAGGGAAACATTCTGGAAAATCAAAGCAAATGGCAAATATCAAATGAAATGAGAGGTACAGAAGGCTGAGATACACAGTGTTATTCTTAAATGAGAAAGTAAAGTGTTTCTGTTAACAGTCGAAGACACATGGGTTACACCCACTGCGCTGCAGTGCACGACCGCCGAACACAATTATTCGAGGATAAATGACGAACGGCATGCATCGTATGAACGAGTGTGTCATGCCATGATCGCGTCGAATTCGTTAAAACAAGCCACTTACCCCCGAGAGGGGAAAATTTGCAATTTATCCTTGCCCGACATTTTCGCACGACCACTGTATGGAGCAGACAGGAATGGGATTGATCAGCTGACTCGGGCGACAGGAAGTTTCGGCTATCATGTGCCTAGTGGCGCACTATTCCAATGGCGCGCAACTGACACGTGTATTCGTTTGCAGAACTGTTTGAAAGTCTTTCTTTAAATATTTTTCTCCTCTTTATATATCTAGTATATTTCTTTTTAATATATATTCTGTGAACTCTCTTTCTTTCTTTTATCCAATAAGTGTTTCAAAATAGTCGATTTTTCAATAATGATTTAAACTTAAATTCAAGTTCAAATGTTATTTAAACATATCAAACTCATTGTAAAAATAAAGTGTGTGAACGTAAATCTAAGTTTAAATTATTGCTGAAAAATTGGCCCTAAGTGTGTTTATAAGCTGATAATAATATGCTTATTATAAATCGCTTCTAATTTAAAAAGGCACTTTTATCGATAAAAGATATTTTGGAATAAGTATCAAAGTATGCAAGGTAATTTTAATAATTAGACTGAGTTTTTCTTAAGTAAAAATAAAAAGAGTATTAGAGAAAAATCTTTCACTTAATTTAATTTCACTGTGTTTCTCTCTCTCTCTCTCTCTCTCTATATATATATATATATATATATATATATATATATATATATATATATACACATTTTTTTACAGCAATGCTACGAAATAAAAGTGAATATTGTTTGGGCGAAACATGGACGATTCAAATGTCCCGCAATTGTGATTTCTCCCATATTTTCTGCGTACTTCAAATTTTCCACGGGTTCGTTTCGATCGCACGAAAGTATGTCCTCAGAATCTCACGACGATGCTCCTCATTTGACCGACGATTTGAAATCTTCTGAGAAGTGTACGTAATGAAAATTGCTTTCAATCTACAGACGGTAAATCGACGATAATATTGGACGTGTGTGCTTTTCTTTCAAGTAGAATGCAAAATTTCTGGCAGTCGGGCATTGTCAGGAAAGCCTGCGATAAGATACTCGCGAAAATGAGGATAAGCAATCCCACAGGAGTCGAGATTGAAAAAAGGTTAGTCATTTTCAAGTATGTAAAGAATAGATTTTATTGTCAGACATATATATTCTCTCTCTTTTTCTCTCTCTTGTAGTGTAAATCTTTCTCTCTTGTAGGATTTTTCGAAAATTTTTTAATTTTTGTAGCAATAAACAGTGTCGTTGTCAATTATGCAGTTTGTCTACCAAATATTATACATACATAATGATAACGTAACAATAATGACATTGTTGTTGGAATACAGAATAGATTTATATAATGAGGAACTAAGCATATTGCTGGTATTTGGTTTCTTATTATATAAATCTATTCTGTAGTTTTCAGCATATTTACAAGAAGCAGAATCGATCAGTTGTCTATTGACAATTTTTCAGTAATAGTCTAAACTTTGATTTAAATTTAAATTACTATTGAAAGAAATTAACTTAAACTTATGCTTAATTTCTCAAAATTAACAAATTTACAAGAAGTAGAGTCGATCAATTTTCAATTCTGACAATCAACTTTTGTTGTTGAAAACTACAGAATAAATTTATATAAGAAACTAAAAGCACTTGGTTTCTTATTATATAAATCTATTCTGTAGTTTTCAGCATATTTACAAGAAACAAAATTGATCAGTTGTCTATTGATAATTTTTCAGTGATAGTCTAAACTTTGATTTAAATTTAAATTACTATTGAAAGAAATGAACTTAAGTTTAACTTCTCAAAATTAACAAATTTACAAGAAATAGAGTCGATCAATTCTCAATTCTGAGGATCAACTTTTCAGTAGTAACTCAAACTTGATTTCAATTTTATTTTTAATTTTAACTTTGTTCTAATAAAATATTTGATGTGTCGAGCAGAGTTGACACACACATATACACATAAACATAAATCAAGGTTTAAATTACTATAAAAAGAAATTAATTTAAATTTCTAATTAGCTCTTTTAACTTCTCTCAAAATTAAAAAATTTATAAGAAGCAGAGTCGATTAGTTCTCAATTATGACAATCAATTTTTCAATAGTAATTAAACTTAGATTAAGGTTTAAGTTCTGTTCTACTAAAGTATCTAATATATATAGAGTTTAAACCTAATTTTTCTATTGTTTTTACTGTTGAACATCTAACTAGAATTTAAATTTTACTATTAAAAAATCGACCCTGAGAGACTTATACAGAATTTAACGACGATGTCAATATAATATAATTTGTCCAGGTTTCAAAACCTGCCGTGCGTTTATATTGATTCTAGCCTCGGCGATGTAAATGCGCGCTTTGCGCCAATCGTCGCGGTCGTACGCGATATCGTCCGAATTATCGTCACAAGCGTCGTTCCACGGCAGCGGCTCGGAGGTCGCTAAAATCTTCGGGACACCGTGATATCGTAGACGCGAACTGCCGGACATTATCACGACGTCGCCGCTCCGTAGAAACATTGCGTCGGCCGGATCCTCTTGTTTGGGTCCGCCGATGAGGAAAATCGCCGTTTGGCCGAAGCTCACGGAGAACAGCGGCGCCGCGACGTTCACCTCCGAGTGATCCGTGTGACCCGCGAGAGTCGAATTCATTCGATAGTAATTCACGATCGCCGCTTCCGCCTTGAAGTCGGTGAAACCTAATGCTTTCGCTAGGGCGGATGTTAAATCCGTCAGCTCCGTTGGCATGTCGCTCTTGGAGCTCTCGGAATACAATTTGGTGTCCCAATTGTGGTGATAACCCAGCGTCGCCCATCTTAGTTTTGGTAGGAGAGTTCTGGCTCTCTCGGAAGACCTGCATGCAAAGTGTCAATTATAATCTTATATCTCAAAAACTAAACTGATAACAAGGATTAATTTGAAGCTCTTTTACATATCTAATCAGGAGGAATGATTAGTCAATGACAATTATCGCACAAGTTGATTGTTGCGAATTGGCTATATTAATATTTTTGTGATTGAGTAAAATGATTGATTTCATTTCATGTAAATTTTTTAAATTTCAGTAGCAGCACACATATTAGTGCTTGACTTTGAAAGTTGAAATTAAAGAGTTTACAAAATAATGAAATTCAATCGATTTGAGTTTTTTAAAATCATATATAAAGATCTGTTTGTTACATAGATGTTTTAATTTAATAGATAATTTTTTTTCTACAATATTTTTCTAAAAGATTCTCTTTTGGAATCATAGAATGCATGTAAGAAGTTTAATTGCAATACTAATTGCAAAAAAAATCAGAATTTTTTACAGTGTCAATGACTAGGGAAGATGTCAATAATTAAGTGCTTTATCTTACATGAGTGCAAAATCACAAAACTTCAGTGACTTCATGGTTACTCTATTTTTTTCTATAAAATTTCATTTAAAATAAATTCTATAAAATTAATTTTTTCTATAAAATAGATCTGTTTTATATGATTGTGTGATAAGTCACAATTTGAAGTGCAATAAATTAAAACTTTATCTACAATATTCTCTTTGCTTTTTGTTTCTTTATTTCTTTCTGACTCAAATTTTAAGTTTAAAGCCAGAAAAAAACAGAGAATAAGAAATAGGAAGCAAAGAATACATTATAGATCAAGCTTAATAGCATTCCTTACTGGAAACATATGTTCCACCATGTGTCGTTATTCAAAACATTGTGGGCATCTATATTCAGCTTGTAGGGCTTTCTGGAATAATCTTTCAGACATTTTGTGATCCAATATCGTTGACCACTTGACGTGAACGGATTCCGAATAAAAATGAGTCCTCAAAAACAAAAGCGAGCAAGTGTAAGATTAAACATTGACAGTTATATTTTCACAAGATACAATTGTGCAAATATTGCATGTAGAATCGCATACCAGGAATATCCAGCAATTCGTAGATCTTCCATTTTTCTGCGGGTTGCAGTCCAAAATTATTCTCAAGCTGTTCGCCAATTGTTACTTGAGGTTTGACATATCTAACCTAAAAACGACATTTACAAGTAATTTGGAAGACACGTATTAACTAATATCACATACTCTGACGCGATCCAGATGATCGAAATCGATCACGTTGCCGAGATCGGGGACAGGATTTCGGCTTTTGTAATATTTGAAACTGTCGCGGAACATTCCCCTTCGATCTCCTGTAGGCTGCCATGTTTCTTTTCCGACGTTTCATTCGCGCCGCGAGAGATGGTTCCACCGTCCCCTCATCTATAAGCCTGTTCTTTTTAGCTGCTCTCTGATGCACTTTCTTTCCGCATCTGAAAAATAAAGTAGACATAAATTTGAGATTCGTCAAGAAAGAGCGTAAAAGCTTTTCTCAACTCACTGTTATCAATAAAAACCTCTCCAAGAGAAGGATCCACTTGAAGCTGCAAACGCTTTGGAGCGTCTAAAGTTGCCTAGAAGTTTTTGCAATGCCAATGTTTACTAATAAAAGAGCTGAGAATAGCAGAAAGAGCTGAAAATAGCACAAAGCAGTATAAAAAGTGCAACTAAACAAACAGATTTATGCACAAGCACGGGGAAGGAGACGAGAAAAGAGGCCGAATAGTGCGGAGAGTGCGCGGAAAAAGTGCGGGCGGTGCGGAGCATGCGCAGTCGCGGATGCCGCCATTTCAAATTCGAAATATCTGAGTATCGTCGCGTCAGTCTTCGCGCGCGCACCACTTGTCGATAGTCGTGTCCGCTTCGTCCGCGTCGTCGCGATTGTTCATTACGGAGTGAAGATGCGAAGCGAGTGCGAGAAGAAAGCGATCTCCCGCGGAACTCGGCATCCTCGAGCGCATCCGCACAACGAGAATTCTCGGACGAGTCGCACAATACACCGTGACTTTGCAAGTACGCATTCCGGGCAGCGAAGATCGGTGGTTTGCATAAAATGACGTCTCATTAATTCCTCGCTTCTCCGCTTTTTCTTTTTCAGAGTGAGCTCACATCCAGACGTCGCGGCGTCGACGGGAACACATCGATAGCGGGGACGTCAATAGGGAATGCTTCTTCGCCGAAATATCAAGGTCCTCGAAATATCAAGGTTAGCGTCGACGCGACGGAACGCTCTTAGGCTCGTATTAATAGTTGTCACTTGAAGCTTGTCTCACGTGAGATGCCCTGATCTAAATTTAGAATTGTATTTCACTTTTTTACTTGAATCATGTAACGTGCAACGTTATATTTGTAATCGTAATTTGACTAAAAACTCGCCTTTAGATTAATGCTAACTCTTCAAATCTAAGTATCTCACCTGAGACAAATGACGACTATTAGAGTTATACTAACGGCACATATTAGTTGGCCAACGGTTAGCCACTGTTGATTCTCCATTGGCCGCTATAGATTCAACATTGGCCCGATGTTTTGTGCTGCTCGGGTAGTTATTTGAAACTTGCCTTAGGTGAGATACTCAGCTTTGAATTTAGAATTAGATATAAATATTTTAGCTAAATCGCGATTATATATATATATATATATATATATATATATATATATATATATATACACACAAATGTAATGTCGCATATATATTATGTGATCCAAATAAAAAACTCAAATCTAACCTAAATTCCTATCCAAGTATCTTACGTGGGATAAATTCTAAGTAATAACTATTAATATCGATCTTAATATGGTTCTAAGGCTCATATTAATAGTTATATATTATTTAAAACTCGTCTCCAGTAAGATACTCAGATTTTAATTCAGAGATGAGAATTTTTCAGTTTAATCGCGGTTACAGGTACAAATATCACATTTATTTAATACCACATTTATTAATTAAACTGAGAAATTAGAATCTAACTTTGAATATCTCACAAATCTGAGTGTCTCACATGAAACAAGTTCCAGATGGTGACTATTAATACGAGCCTTAGACAAGCGCGAATGTTTTCTTTCATGTTCATGTCGTGGAATGTCAGGTCATTCCGTAACTATTGATTTTGGCTATGTCACTGATGTCGCGAGACAACGTTTCGCGAAGGATTTGTTTAGAAATTAACGGCTGTGGTGACGTGATGGCGGTGATAGTGTAATTAATAGCCACTTGCTGCAAGAGAAATGTCTCTTGCCTTGAAAAGAGAGGGCGACAACGATATTATCTTTGCGATAGACGCTATTTCGTGGACATTACGTCATATTGCGCGACCGTTGCATAGTATTACGTTATGAATATTAATAGCGTTATGATTTAATTGCGACAAAATTAAATCTGATAAGATGTATAGTATTATTTTTGGAGACATTATGTTAATTGTACGGATAGATGGAACTTAATTGAATGAATATTTTGAAATGTTTTAATATTTATTATATATTTATTCTGATGAATAATAAATATTCATCTATTGATAAATAATAACGAAGTTGTTATTATTGTTTCATGTGGGGGGAAAATAATTAAAAGAAATTTATTTCCAAATTGTAATTTAAACGGTGCAGCAAAAAGGATCTAAAGTTTATGTTTATGAATTTTTTTTATAATTTTGCGACACAATATCTAATGTTTACGAATTTGAACTTTTATTACAAGTTTTTATTACATATTACATATTATATTATTTTTTACAAATATGAATTTAATTTCTATTTTTAATAAATATGACAATGAGTTTAAGAAAATATTTATAAACAAAAATCTTCTTAATATTGTATTTTTTGTATTTTCTAAATTTTTTAAAGTGAAATTTCAATTAAAAATAGAATAAAACTATGGAGTCACTGAAGTTTTGTAACTTTGCACTCATATAAGATGAAGCACTCAGTTATTGACATCTTCTCTAATCATTGACACTATAAAAAAATTTGATTTTTCTTGCGACTAGTATTGCAATTAAACTTCTTATATGCATTCTATGATTCCAAAAGAGAATCTTTTAATTAACTTTACTAATACTGCGAATAAATGTTGTAAGAATAACCAGATTTTACTAGAGTGTAAATAGCTAAGAGGGGTGTCAATAATTGGGTATTTTATCCTACAGTGAATTCTCTACTCTGAATCGTCGACTAAATATTTTTACTGGAAATTGAAAAGTGAATCTGATACACTGCACTGTCACAGTAATATATTCAATCTTATCAATTGATTGATTGATTCGTTTATATGCAGTTAGATTCCACTCTAAGCTTAAGTGAAATATATATCCTTGCGATTTCAAATGACAGTATTTTCACTTTTGCTTCTAAGCAAGATGTCATTTTTCACTCATTTTGAATGAGATCCCACTCCAAGAAATTTAGGTCTGTAATAGTCGTTACTTGAAATTTATCTCAAGTAAGTACTCCGATCTGAATGTAGAATTGAATGTGAGTTTTTCAGTTAAATTGCAATTACAAATATAATTTCACGAATATTGTATGATTTAAATGAAAAACTCTGATATAATTCGAGATTAAAATTTGACTATCTGTCACATAAAACAAATTTCAAGTAAAGAGAGAGTCAAGTCAAGAGAGAGAAATTCCAAGTAAATATCCCACTCCAAGAAATTTAGGTCTGTAATAGTCGTTACTTGAAATTTATCTCAAGTAAGTACTCCGATCTGAATGTAGAATTGAATGTGAGTTTTTCAGTTAAATTGCAATTACAAATATAATTTCACGAATATTGTATGATTTAAATGAAAAACTCTGATATAATTCGAGATTAAAATTTGATATATCATATTTGTAAAATACTATTAATACATTAATAGAAACTTGTCTCTCAGAGACATGTCTCGTGAGATACTGGAACCTGAATTTAGAGTTATATTTGAGTTTTTTATTTGAATTATATAATATATGTGATATTACATTCGTAATTGTGATCTAACTCTAAAAGTTCATAGCTAACTCTAAATTTAAATCTGAGTCTCAGATTCTCTACTTCAGATTTGAGTAACTGATTATTAATATTGAGTAATTGATTATTAATACAAGTTAAAAGCTCGTAATTTTTATTTGAAGCTTGCCTCACGTGGGATATTTGAGCTTAGAATTAGATCTAAATTTTTCAGTTGTATTATTATGATATGTGACATTATATCTGTAATCATGATTTATCTGAGAAGAAATTCAAATCTAATTATAAATTCAAGTGTGAGTATCTCACTCGGGACACGTTTCAAGTAACAACTATTAATACAAGTCTAAGGCTCGTATTAATAGTTGTCACCTGAAACTTGTCTCATGTAAGATACATAAATAGATTTTTAGTTAGAGTTAGATACCGGTTTTCCATTTAAATTATAATACATGTGATACTTATATCTGTGATCACGACTCAATTGAAAAATTCTTAACTAAGATCTTTGAGTTCAAATGTATTTCGCTTGGGGCGAGTTTCAAGTAATAACTATTAATACGGGCCCAAGATGATTAGAAGCAAGTTCTTCTACTCGGCCCTCTCTGAGATCATTTCCAATTTGTGCAGCTGGCCGAGCGTGCGATTGAGTTCGACATATTCGCGGACACGCGTCTCTGACTAAGAGCTTAGAAACGCACCCGCCAGCTTGACACGTAAACTACGCGCCACCCAGTATTATTACTCAATGCGCTTTGCATATCTCTTCATCGTCGTCGTCGTTCGCGAGAAGAGATCGCATTAGAAAAGCGCGCCGGCGGTTTTCCTCGCAGGGGCGGACTCGCCTCAAACGCCTCAAAAGTACGCCTCAAACGGTAAAACTTTGCAAGCTCGCTTGTGACAAAACGTTCAATTGAAATTTTTATTCCGCGTCGCTCGTTCAATCTATGTCATCAAGATAGAAAAAAAGAAACTTCGATAAAAAATTATCACATTCACAAATAAAGTGAAATTCTTCATTATCACTTTGTTACTTGTTCAATTATTTGAAAAGAGAGAGAGAGAGAAGACAAATTTTAATAAAATATTCGCAAATTCGATGTTTTACAAAGTTGTAAATGCACCTTAAAGCCTCGGTAAAGATGATTAATCCATAAAAATTACCATTTTACCAATTGTTGGCCGGTAATTACAATTTTCTTGAGAACAGAGAGACAATCACAAATTCGCGGCGCGGTTTTGTGGGTCCCGTTGGGACCTCAGGACGACAGGCCCGGTCCGTTTAGCCGGTAAATCCGCCACTGTTTCCGCTGCGCCGCAATAATCGCCCGTGACTAATTTTAGCGTGCGATTTTCGCATAATGCCATTGCCGGGAAACGGCGTGATTTCATAGCGGCGAGGGCAGGGCACCGCGGCATCAGCTGCAGCCTCAGCGGTGCGCTCAAGGCTTTCAAGGCTTTTCGAAAGCACCGGCTAAATTAATAGACTCGGCAAAGCCGCCGCGTTCGCGGTAGAGCTGCGTTAATGATCGTTCATTACCGTCGCTTCTATTCGCCATAAATCTCGCCCACCCACGTCTATCCACCTGAACACACGATAGACAGACTGCTCACCCGCACCTGTGACGCGATCGATCGCGGCCGGTCGATCCAGTTTGATCGACCTCAATATGAGCGAAG